CACTCAAACAACGAATTTCCAATTTCAAAAAAGGAAACCAATCGATGGCTACATATCTTCAAGGAATAAAGGCAATTTCGGATGAACTCTCAATCATTGATCACACTCTTGATGAAATTGACCTTGTTATTCACACTCTCAATGGTTTGAGTGTTGAGTATCGTGAAATTTCTGCTGCACTTAGAAGCATAGAAAGTCCAGTTGCCTTTGCTGAAGTTCATGAGAAACTGATCGACTTTGAAACAATTCATCACCAAGCCAATCCACTTGCAGTTGATATCGTGATAGCAACTGTCAATGCAATCATAAGAAACAACAACTATCACAACAAAAACCACAGCAACCGTAACTCTTCTCCAATTATGAGGAATGGCGAAAATAAGGTGGTCTGTTAGTTTTGTGACAAGGCTGGTCACACTGCTAAAACCTGCTACAAAATTAAGGGATTTCCGAAACGGAATGACCCTAAAACAACAGTGGACCTTGCACAAAATCAAGATTCAACACAACATTGTAACTGGATCATGGACACTAGAGCATCTCATCTTATTGCTCAAGACCTGCAACAACTCACATTAACAAATTCCTATCCTGGAGCAGATCGGGTGATTGTTGGTGATGGAACAGGTTTGAACATTAATCACACTGGTAACTCTGTTATTAATACTTCTGCCAAACCTATTCAGCTTAAACAAGTCTTATGTGTGCCTAAAATTCAATCTAACCTTTTGTCTGTTTCCAAGTTATGTCAATCTCATGGTTGTTCTGTTGAATTTTTTCTAAATCATTTTGTTGTCAAGGATTTGAACTCGGGTCAACCCCTACTTCAAGGACCCCGTAAACAAGATCTTTATCATCTATCCCATGCATTTAGTCCATCTAGTCCACCACAAACATTTCATTCAAGTATCCACTCTACATCTACATGGCATCATAAATTAGGACATCCTTCTTTCAAAATAATAAAGCATCTGACGCACAATCATCATCTACCAATAAAGCTTCCAGCCTCACATGAGTGTAGTTCTTGTCACTGTGCAAAAGCCACAAGCTTCCTTTTTCAAATCATCATCTCACAAGCAGCAAACCTTTGGAACTTTTGTACCCTGATGTTTGGGCCCCAGCTCCTGTTAGATCCTTAGATGGTTATTTATACTATTTAATCATCGTTGATTATTTTCCAAATATGTATGGTTGTACCCAATGAAACATAAGTCATATGTCTTCTCTCTTTTTGTTCAATTCAAGTCCATTGTTGAAAAATACCTTAATTTGTCGACCGTTTCTCTTTTCGCTGATAATGGAGGCGAATTTATCAAATTAAAATCGTTTCTTGCTAATAATGGTATTTCTCATTTAACCACACCACCGCACACACCTGAGGTAAATGGCACAACAGAGAGGCGGCATCGACATGTTGTTGAAATTGGTCGTGCTCTTTTGCACCATGCTAATTTACCCTCTCAACTATGGTCATTTTCTTTCACCACTACTGTGTACCTTATTAATAGGATGCCTAAACCAAACATTAATATGGTCTCACCATTTGAAGTATTGTTCAAAAGCACACCAAATTATAATAAACTTCATTCCTTTGGATGCTTGTGTTTTCCATGGCTAAAACCATATATGCAAAATAAGCTCCAAACCAGGTCTAAACCTTGCATATTCCTAGGATATTCCATGCCACAACATGCATACTATTATCTTGAACCATTGTCAAATAGGATATATGTATCCAGACATGTCAATTTTGTGGAAAATTCATTCCCATATCAATCCATAATTAACTCGTCGTCTTCTTGTCCTCTAATTCCATCACTGGACTCTTTTGTACATAGTATTATTTATGTTAACCAAGATCAAAGTTCAGCTCCGGTACTAAACCAGTCCCTAGCGCATGAGTCATCTATGTCTGTGCCACCCGTTATCCCATTAACAGTATTCAATCCTGCACCAACCATTATACTGAACCAAACACGAGTACCCTTGTCATTTGTACCTAGCTATACACCTACATCTGAGTCATCAGTACCGATATCGAGTCCTATACCAGTTCCTGCCTCGAATCCTACACCAGTCCCTGAGTCAATGCTTCTTATTGAGTCATCTGTAACAACAGAGATACCAGTGACTAGTGATAATTTAATAAGTTCTACCACCAATAATGCACACGATCAGGTCCAACCTTCACAAACATATAATCCAGTTCAACGTGATCCTATTGTAACATGGTCCCAAAATAATATATTCAAATCCAAGATGTTATTTACTGCCACTAAACATGAGTTACAAGAAAATCTTGAGCCATCTACCATTACTCAAGCATTTAAAATACCACATTGGAGAGATGCTTGTTCTGCTGAATTTAATGCACTCATGAGCAATGGTACTTGGATCTTGGTTCCACGTAAAGCTCACACTAATTTAGTTGGCTGTAAATGGTTGTTTCGCATTAAAATAAATCCCGATGGAAGTGTGGTACGCTATAAAGCATAGTTGGTTACAAAAGGATTCACTTAAACACCTGGTCTTGATTTTAAGGAAACATTTGCACCGGTTGTGAAACCTCAAACCATTAAAGTGGTTCTCACTTTAGCACTTGCTCAAGGGTGTTCTTTACACCAAATGAATGTTAATAATGCCTTTTTGCAGGGAAAATTGACCGAAGATGTCTACATGCAACAACCACCCGGATTCCTTCATTCTGAATTTCCTCAACATGTATGTAAACTCAAGAAGGCTATCTATGGTTTAAGACAAGCACCTCGAGCATGGCATGATTCTCTCAAGGCTTTTGTTCTTTCTGTTGGGTTTCAAACAAGCCTAAGTGATTCCTCCTTGTTTATTTACAATAAACATGGTGTACAAGCTTTCTTATTAGTATATGTTGATGACTTACTTTTGACGGGAAGTGATACTACCTTTTTAAATCATTTTATGACAAAACTTTCCAATAAGTTTTCTCTCAAACAACTTGGTTTCCCTCATTATTTTCTTGGAATTGAAATGATTTCAACCAAGGAGGGTATGTTATTATCTCAACATGGTTATATTAGAGAACTCTTGAATAAGTTCAATATGGCTGGTGCAAAGTCCGTTAACACACCATTATGTATGACTACTCCTCTCAAACTACACGATGAATCTGCCGCTGCCGACTCAAAGCAATTTCGCAGTATCATTGGTGCATTGCAATATATCACTTTGACAAGGCCAAATTTGTCCTTTTCAATTAATAAATTGTCACAATTCATGCATCAACCAACTCAAGTGCACCTCCAGCAACTCAAGAGAGTATTAAGGTATCTCAAACATACTATTAATCATGTTCTGAGGCTAGCAAAACCACTTCATCTCAAATTACAAGCCTTCACTGATGCTGATTGGGGAGGTAATTTTGATGACAAAACATCTACTTCAGCTTACATAATTTACTTTGGTGGAAATCCTGTCTCATGACTATCAAAAAGGCATAAAACAGTTGCAAGATCATCCACAGAAGCAGAATACCGATCTGCTGCCAATACTACAACAGAGATTATGTGGTTGCTCAATCTATTGAGTGAACTTGGAGTACCATCTCACATACCTACTCTCTTTTGTAACAATATTGGCACAACCTACTTATGCTCCAATCCAGTATTTCACTCTCGAATGAAACACATTGCTCTAGATTATCATTTTGTGCTACAGATGGTTCAACTTGGAAAAATACGAGTCTCTCATATTTCTACAAAATATCAGTCAACAAATATTCTAACAAAGCCTATGCATCGAATAAGATTTTCATTTCTAAGAGACAAAATTTGTGTCATTGATGGTGACCCAATTTTGAGGGGCATAATAACAGATAATTATAAGTTACTCCTATAATTTAGGTGTAACCAATCATTCTTATTAGTGTGCATATGACTTGATTATAAGTTACTACTATAATTTAAGTGTAACCAACCATTCATATTAGTGTGCATATGACTTGTTATAGTTTGAATCATTCATGCCTTGATGTTAGGAATCAACATAAGAGCTCCCTTAAGATTAACAATTAGTTATACAATCATATATCTTTTATATCTATAAATAGATAGCATTTATGAATAGAATAATATATTAAAATATCATTCTCTTATGTTACTACTATTAATTCAATTTATTTACACGTTTTTGTCTTCAAAATTAATTAAATATAGTCTTCAAAATTAATTCAATTTATTTCATATGATTTTGTTTTGTTTTTTATTCGAAATGTATTGTTGTTGATGCATATGGTTTGATTGAAACCATTTTCTAGGTATGAGTTGAAATATGTTGGTCTAATTAGAGGGAAAAATTGAGCAAGGTGAAAAGACTTTGAATGTGATATTTTTCATCCATAGTTTTTGTCTGTTTATTTAGAGTAGGATAATGACAAAGATCGAAATTCGATGCTTGGATATATAGGAATTTTCTCTAAGATACCACACCTTTAAAATATAATTATCATAATATCATAATCTAAAAAAATATTATCAGAATGTCACGTTAAAAAACCTTCACCCCTATCTTTGATTGTCTTAAATTGATTTTGATTTTTTTCTAAAGACACCCTAATACCATCAACATGCACACTAATTAACAATAGTAGTAGAGTACTACTAGTATAAGAAAAAGAATTTATGAGAGAGAATAGAGTTGAGGTGATATGTTTGCAGGAGGCGCAGCCCTAAATGTCGTGCTTAACAGAACACTGTACTAAAGCTGAACCCATTCTGTCTCATATAAGCATCAGAATATGTCTCTGTTTTCACCATACATACAATATTCTCTCTGACTCTCTCGTCTCATTCACTCTCTCTATCACTTCACTTGTTTTCTTTCCCATAAAAACCACACCCCACCATTAACCCCACACACACTCATCACACTTGTTCTCCTTCCATTCCATAACAAGTCCACTTTCATTCCTTGCGTTTTACAACTCTTTACTTCTAACACTTGTCACTCTTCAATACTCAACAATGCCGTCATCGGACTCCGGTGAGAGCCGTCGATCAATCAAACCACAAAGCCGCCCCCCTGCACCTGCACCAGAGCAAGAGAATCTCCCATGTCCTCGTTGCGATTCAACCAACACCAAGTTTTGCTACTACAACAACTACAACTACTCTCAGCCTCGTCATTTCTGCAAAGCTTGCCGTAGGTACTGGACTCACGGCGGTACTCTCCGGGACATCCCCGTTGGAGGTGGTACCAGAAAAAACGCGAAACGCTCTCGCACTCATCATGTTGCGGTTACTTCCTCGTCTTCCTCTTCCGCTGTCACATCCGCACCACCGTCTTTTCCGTATGGTTCTGTTGACGGTGAGGTAAAACAGAATATGAGTGTTTGCGGGAGCTTCACTTCGTTGTTGAACAACAACCATAACCCTCAGAACTCCGGGTTTCTGGCATTAGGTGGGTTCGGACTTGGGCTTGGACACGGACTTGGAGATATGGGGTTTGGGATAGGGAGAGGGGAATGGAGTTTTCCTGGGATGATGGATGGATCCAACATGGGTGTGCCGGTTGTGACTTCTGGTATCGGAAACTCGTGGCAGTTAGAAGGTGGCGAAACTGGTTTTGTGGGTGCTGATTGTTTCTCTTGGCCTGGACTTGCGATTTCTACACCGGGAAATGGTCTCAAATGAACTCATTTTTAATTTTTTTTGGTTTCAATGGAGGGTGATCTGTAGTTCATCAAGTTTAGGTTTCTTTCTCCTGTATGTGGCGTGTGTATGCGGATTTGGGTATAATCATCATCATCATAGAATTTTTTTTTTTGTTCATGTTTCTTTTGAAATCCTTTGTCATGTGTATGTTCCTGGATTAACTAATGGTGTTTTATGACTAAACTCTTTCTGCCTCACAAGTTTTGATTAATTTGGTAAATGATGTTATTGCTTCTTGTCCAAATTATGCTCTTGTTGCTACTTTCCAATATTCATGTGTACTCTGTTGAATTTTGGGTTGAACAAATTTCTTTGTTTAGTTATTTAGTCATTAGTTATGTATTAGTACATTTGTTGATTTCTACCATTTCGCTCTAATTGAATTTATACTTTATCTCATTAAGCTAGATTTGAGTTTAAATAACTTGCTCCGTCTAATGTTGGAGTGGCGTGATGGAGAATAAACACTAAATTAGTTGCGAGTAATGAGTGCTGTCTCATGGAATATAAATTTGTATTTCTATTATATGCTGGTGCCTTCCTTCGTCGTCAAACAATAATAATAATAATGTCTCCTTGTGGGATACTTCCTCATTAGTCCAACTTGTACATTTCTAACAGTTATGTGACCAAACTTTCGCTGTGGCCCCATGACACTAGTTTTCTTCAGACATGCCTCTATCTTAGTTGCGGCTTTGTTAGTCCTGGTATCGTGTAGATTTTAGAAGGATCTTTTTGGAGCCTTAGATACGTTTTTAAAAATGATTTTCTCCTATCAATGTGGATGTTTCTTTTACATGCAACGACTATATCGATTATTGATCTTACCGGTTGAACAAAATCTGTGAAGTGGCCGAAAGATGATCTGTAATCGGGCTATGAAGTCGAGGAGAAAAAAGGATTGTACCTGCAAGGCACTCCGACGATCAAGTAAGTGCGGGGACAATAAGGTACAAGCAAAGTATTAGGTAGTAAGTGGTGAATTTTCAATACCTGACCCTCACAGGTGTGAGGGTATATATAATGCCATTGGCACGTAGCTATTGGTTCCTGATTTCACGCCTGGATATGCGGGTCCGTAAAATCAGGTAATTCCCAAGACTTGGTCAAACCGGATATATGTGCTCGTAACTAGTCGTTGGTCCTGAGGAGGGGGTTAGTTACTGGCATCTCTCTAGTTGATTCCTGGTGGCTTGCACGACGAAAATGTCGGGCAGGCTGAGAGGATGCTCATCGATCATTCTGGGTCAATGCTGGTTCGGGACGGCAAACAGATGACATTGCCCGACAAGTAGCGGGCAATTCGGGTCATGGTCGTGCGGGCCGTAACAAAGAAAATGTCTTAGACTGGGCACATTCTAGTTGTCGGGCCAGTCCAGAACAATAGCCCCTTAAGTCGTTGCTTCTGGTTGCGGGAGTGATGACTTTTACGGGGAAATGAGTGTTGCCCGTTACGCCTTGCTTGCGGGGAGACGAGGAGTTGGTCGTTAGGACCTTTGAATTTTGAGAGGTAGCGTGTTTTGGGAAGCGTGCTAACAAAGCGACGCAATGATGGCCTAGGGCTAGGGTGTAGTGATGACGACCCTAGGGTTCCCAAGCGCGTGTCTTGCACGCGCGGATTATCTTAGTTATAAATACGAGAGGAACAAGGCGTTTAGTATTTTTTGCATTCTTTCTCAACTGCTCGTATTAGCTCGACAGTCGACCACCAGAGTTCGTTGATTTTCTCTGCTCGCAGCTACTAACTTTCATCTTTTCTTCTATTACTGGTAGGTTTTTGATCCTCCATTGTTGTTTGCTTTGATAATTTCGCCTTTTCCCTTCTAGAGACGCATGCAGTTAGGATTTAGGATTCTGTTAGGGCTTAGGTTTTTTTTTGCAATTCATGCCCGTTAGTGTGCCTCAATGAGGTTTTAGGGCTTTTCTGCAATTTGTGCTCGTTAGTTTGCCTCAGTGAGGGTTCTGGTCGGGGAGGTGATCCTCGTTTACTAGCGCCCTTTCGCTTGTTTAGCGATAAAAGGGTGGTTCTGACATTGATGTTGAGCTCATCTTTTCCTTATGCTTTTCAGGTGCCATGGTTGATACTGCTCATGTCGTTATTTCGAGCGAATCTACACAGTCTTTTAGGAGTTCCTCAGATGAGACAAGTAGCTCGTCAAGCATCTTGGAAATATTCGGGGATGTGGAGAACCAGATAGGATAGCAAATGGGGGAGCTTGAGGTGGGGGCGACCTCCGTGGACCATGGCAGCTTGTTTCCTCCTAGAGACAAAAAGGATCCTCGGGATTGGGTCGCGAATGACCCCTGGGAGTGGCAGTTGTATTTTTACGAGCACGGGGAGGATGTCTTTACGGACGTATATACTCATGAGGAGGGCCCCCGGAGGAATGGTCATTATATATTCTTGGGAAGAAGAGCAGGATCTGCTCGAAGTATGACAGGAGGTGGATCCTGATGTATGATATTGTCTTTCGAGAGATGGGTCTTCGCCTCCCCTTCTCTGACTTCGAGGTGGCTATTTTCCGGCATTTGCGTATGGCTCCTTCTCAATTGCATCCGAATGGTATCGCATTCGTGCGAGCGTTTGAGATAGTCTGCGACAATCTGAAGATAGGGGCCACAATTCCATTGCTTTTCTACTGTTTTCACATCCAAAGGAGTAAGGTCGGCGGAAAATGGGGATGGGTCTCCCTAAAGCAAGGCAATGGGATGTTATTCAAGGCCTATTTAGAGTCTGTCCACCATTTTAAAGACAAGTACATCTTGGTGAAGCCCACTTCGATAAAGGCGATGTTGAACGTTTTTAGGATTGCACCGTCGCTCAACGAGGATGGGACTCCCCGTCTAAATGAGCTAGGGGAGCCTACTGTGAAGCTGATTTATAAATTCCCATTCCAATGGACGAGGAAGCATTTTGACAGGGAATTGGGCTCCTATGTTTGGAGAGAGGCGGAGCTCGGAGACGAGGATCTGGAGAGTTTTGCTGCTCTGACCACGTTCGTGGCTCAAATCCCTTGGGTTTAGTGAGTTGGTCGGGGGGGCAGGCCTGTGTTAGATAAGAAAGGGGAGCCGATATATGAACCGTGCCTCATAAACGTCAAGGAGCTCCTCGAAAGCGAGGATCCCGTTAGATACTTGGGTATATATATTCCTAATAGCAGTAAGTGATTGTCGTTTGTTGACTCCTCGTTTTACTGACTGCTCTTTTTTTGTTTGTTTTGCAGAGAGCATGAATCCTGCCCAAGAGCGTTTGGCCAAGACTCTTGCTGCCCGAGTGAGGAGGGCTTTGAAGGATGCGCGGGCTGGTGCGAGGCCAGCTCCTACCTCGGGGTCGGGTGGATCATCCTCAGTTCCAGCCACAATCGCTCTCTCTCCTGCTGTCGTTTCTTCAAAGGCGAAGAGACCGCGAGCTGATGGGAGTGTCGACCTGACCGAGGAAACGGGGAAAGAAACGTATGACCCGCCTCCTTGCTGGTTGGAGAAGTCCTTTTTCGAGGGCGCGACTTTCCTCTTCCTCGAGCCGAATCTCTCCTCCTTGAGGGAATGGGCCGTCCGGAGAAGAGGGTGATGCTGGCGCAGGATGCAGGCGGCTTGATGCGGATCCTGGAGATGGAGATTGCTTACACTGAGGGGAGTTCATCCCAGGAGGCAGAAATAAAGAATCTTCGGGCTAAGCTGGTTGCGAGCGAGAAGGCCTTGGTTAAGAAGGACAAAGACCTGAAGCTGTCTGAGGAAGAATTGGGGAAGCTCTTCGAGGACTCAGGGTTCTGTTACTCGAGAGAGAGGGTATTAAGGGAAAGGTAGCGGCCCTGACTTCTGAGACCATGCTCACTGAGGATGATCCGAAGGATACTAAGGACCTGAAGACTCGGTCAGAATTGGTTGCTCGTTTCCAATTGGCTATAGATGACGCTTAGGCCGCTTCCGAGGGGAGCTTCGAGAATTCCGTGAATCATATGTGTGTGTTGAACCCTGACATCGAGCTCAACACCTCGGGTATGGGGGTCAACTTTTATGTGGCTGGCGGCCAGATTCTGCCCCTGATTATCTCAGAGATATTGTCGCTTAACCGACCAGAGATCCTGCCCAACTGTCGCCCATTATCGAAGGGGGAACAGAAGGATGATTTTGTTTATTTCGGCATGCGTGCCACATTTGTTGTATTTTTTTCCCGAGCTTCTGCTCGTTTATGTAATATTTGCGCATTATCGGCCGAAGTGGTCATTTTATTAAATTCCGGTCAATGGTCATTTGCTTTAAATATTTAACTTGTGTTTTTACATGTTTGTTGAAAAACTAGCCAGTTTAGGACGTTTTATATTTTGCTAAGATTTCATAGCGGGGGATGTGCTCGTTTTATATGTTCATCAGTGTGGAGAAACTGATCAAACAGCCAGGGTGAATACCGGGCAAGGGCCGAAACTCAGGTCTTGTTTCGAGGGACCTGGGTTCGGCAGCGTGAACCTCCCGCCGTGAGTCGGATGCTCTACCATCATGGCACAAGGACTATGGAGCTCGATCGAGTTATCCATGTTGGACTGAGGGTGCACTCGTCAACAGAGCGAAGCCTTGCCTCTTCTGAATTCTTTTGGTGTCATGCTTGTGCCTAGGAATGCACGCATGGTCGGGCCTGAGTGAGTTTGTCTCGTCGAGAAAACTCGCCGACTGATCAGTGTTTTAAACTGTAATATTGTTTTAGTTTTTCAGCGTTCAATGATCGAACGAGATGTTCCCCTTGTAAGTTTTCCAAGTAGTACGCTCCAGTCCCCGTTTTTGTGTAGACGCGATAAGGGCCTTCCCAGTTCGCTGCGAGTTTGCCTTTGTGAGATTATTTGCGGTTTCTCTTTAAGATAAGACTGTCGACCTCGAACTCTTATCATATGACTTTGGTGTCGTAGCACATGGCTATTTTTTATTTGAGCGAGGCCTCTCGTAGGGATGCTTCTGTTCTGATTTCTTCCACCAGATCCAGCCCTTCA